TCTGACCACATGACATTCTCCCAATCCTCTGCTGTATCATCCATGTGCTCTCTGGCAAACTTCAGACGGGCCTGGACATGCACTGGCTTCAGCAGCGGAACACGTCTGGCACTGCGGGATTTGATTCCCTGCCGTTGTAGTGTGTTACTGATGGTGACCTTTGTTACTTTGGTCCCAGCTCTCTGCAGGTCATTCACCAGGTCCCCCCGTGTGGTTCTGGGATCTTTGCTCACCGTTCTCATGATCATTTTGACCCCACGGGATGAGATCTTGCGTGGAGCCCCAGATCGAGGGAGATTATCAGTGGTCTTGTATGTCTTCCATTTTCTGATGATTGCTCCCACAGTTGATTTTTTCACACCAAGCTGCTTGCCTATTGTAGATTCACTCTTCCCAGTCTGGTGCAGGTCTACAATACTTTTCCTGGTGTCCTTCGAAAGCTCTTTGGTCTTGGCCATGGCGGAGTTTGGAGTCTGACTGTTTGAGGCTGTGGACAGGTGTCTTTTATACAGATGATGAGTTCAAACAGGTGCCATTCATACAGGTAACGAGTGGGGGACAGAAAAGCTTCTTACAGAAGACGTTACAGGTCTGTGAGAGCCAGAGATTTTCCTTGTTTGAGGTGACCAAATACTTATTTTCCACCCTGATTTACGAATAAATTCTTTACAAATCCTACCATGTGGATTCATGGATTTTTTTTTCACATTCTGTCTCTCACAGTTGAAGTGTACCTCTGGTGCAAATTACTGACCTCTGTCATCATTTTAAGTGGGGGAACTTGCACAATCGGTGGCTGACTAAATACTTTTTTGCCCCACTGTATTTGATGTAATCTTTCCTATTTACAGTTTTATCGTTGTTAAAGCTTTACTGCACCCAAGTGAATGGTAAATCAAGCACTTTGAGAATCACAGAGGTCTTTGTGGCTTGCTAAGCCAAAGAAAAGATCCTTTTAGATGAATTATGTTACATTAGATGAAAAGTTTTTCGACAATTTTTCCCGCGTTGTTTTTAATTTTTATGTCCATTACCTTCATCTGCTCTCCTTAAAATAATGGAAGAAAAAATGTTCATAGATATATAAATACAGGACAGAACATGTGTTGTGTTCTTTTTCTGTCAACATGCAGCAGTTGTGCTGTCTTTACCCACTTTGTCTGCTGAAAAGCAGATAGTGACAGTTGGATACGTGACCTTGTAAGATGACGGGAAAAAGAAGTCTGAAAAAGAATTTGAGACAGACACCACCACCTTGTTTTTGGATTCAGACCAGGAATCTGTCGTTGAGACGTCAGCACGCTGATTAAAAACGTTATGATGACATATCTCACACATGCACATGCTCACACATAATGATCCACCCAGACCACAGCTGGAAGAGCTTTTGGGGATAAGGGATTTTGTAAACATGGGTTAAGTATGAGCCTGTCACACAGAGGGCATACATGTGTGCTGTGGAGTGGGGGGCGGGGGTTAATTTTGTCTTAATGGGGGTTGCCAGGTAGAATAGCTGACTAATGATGTCATGAGAATTGTGGAAGAAAAGACGCTGAACTGACAGGTAAACCTGTCGTGCGCTTTATTAAACTGCAAATTAACTAGTTGTGGTTTAGTTTATTGAGGGCCTCCTATTTTCAATGATTTAATTGAATCTAATGTAGCCACCTGTTATTTAAAGTATTGGAGTAAATAGTTTTGAAGTAAATATTTGAAATTATTCATCATCTGGAGCCTATCCCAGCTGTCTTAGGGTGAGAGGCAGGGTACATCCTGGACAGGTCACCAGTCTGTCTCAGGGCTAACAGATAGACAAAGACAACCATTCGCACTCACATTCACACCCATAGGCAATTTAGTGTTTTCCTATCCCCACTAACTGCATGTCTTTGGACTGTGGAAGGAAGCCGGAGCAACCGGGGAGAACCCACGCAACATGGGGAGAACATGTAAACTCCACACAGAAAGACCCCACCGTGCCACGGTGCCGCTAAAATGATTCATCCATCCATTCGCTTCCGCTTATCCTTTTCAGGGTCGCGGGGGGCGCTGGAGCCTATCTCAGCTGTCATAGGGCGAGAGGCGGGGTACGCCCTGGACAGATCGCCAGTCTGTCGCAGGGCTAACATACAGAGACAGACAATCATTTGCACTCACATTCACTCCCGCATTCACACCTGTGGCCAATTTAGATTGCATTTTAGACCTAAAGTGATTCATATTTGTCTTACTTATCTGGATTTTGCTTTGAACAAACATCTCGTCATTTTAAAGAGTCTGAGTCTGTTAATGAGACTCGGGCCCCTGTTGTACATTCCCCGCAGTGCAAAAGCCAAAGCTGCATATTTTAAAAGAACTACATGTTAATTGCCCCCATGTTTTAAGCACCATGCCTGCAGTTAGTTTTTTATTTGCAGCCTCACTTTAGCTAACTGTTGACACCACTATGGATTCATTTGGGTAGTTTTCTCCTTAGCTGTGCCGGGTTTTTTTTTTTAGCCCGATAAACCACTTAAATCCAGCTTTCAGTGCGTTCAGATGATTTAGTGTTGCTGGACTTTATGTGTCCAGTGCATAAACCCAGTTTGTTTGTGTCTACGTGTTTATGCGTGTGTGGAGGAGATTTTTGAAAAGCAACAGGTGGGAAACTGCACTCACCACTTTGATGATGATGATGATGATGATGTGTGTGTGTGTGTGTGTGTGTGTGTGTGTGTG